TTTGTTGTATTAGGGGACATCCGTTGAAGGATGTCACCTCCGTTGATGTATATTTCTTCACGCTGGTTGATGCTCTGGATGCTCCTCGATGTTCCTTCATACCACGGTGGCGACACTCCTTCACACTACGGCGGCAATGGAAACTTTCAAACCAAAAAAAAAATCTGAGAAGAAAAAAAAATGGAAGTGCGGGAGGTGAAGAGGTGAAACGAAAATGGAGAAAGGGAAAGAGAGTTCCTCCGTGGATGAGGGCTGAGAAAGTAAAATTAGAGTTTAAAATTATTTAAAATAAGGTAAAAGTAAAAATCTTTTTAACTTAAAAATATAATTGTATTTAAAATAATGTGAGGAGGTGAAGGAAATATAGGGTGGTGGTGGGGAGCAACACTTTCATTTGTTAAACTTGCTGACGTTTACCCATCATGATCAACCATCTCAAGGTTCTTTTTATTTTCTCTGTCTTGGTTCCTTGTTGTGGCTGAAGTCAGAAACAAAAGAAAGCACAAACACAATATTGGTGTTCATCATCTTAGCCATGAGCCCCTCCTTCCCGAGTACCAAGACCAAAAATCATAATTTTCTCAAGACCAGAACACATTAATTTTTAAGTTTATTAGATTATTTTTTATTTTATATTTTAATTATAAATTTTTAATTTATTCTGTTAGTTTTTCATTTTGTTAAAATTTTCAAATTGTATGACTTTTTTAAATTATTTTAAAAAAATGGTATATAAAATTGATATCAAAATTTCGAATGATTTTTTAGGTACTTATGTATTATTATTTTGGTATTTATTTTTAAATTTATTAGATAATTTATAATTGTTTAATTTATTGTATTAGTTTATAATTTTATAATTTAATTATAGATTTTGAATTTATTAATTTTTTTTATGATTAAAATTTTAATTATATATTAACTAATTATAAATTAAAAGAGAGTAAAGAAGAAGAATGAAATCCAAAACAGGAAGATGCCAAAATGTGAGAGAGAAACATAAAAGTGAAACTAAAACTGGTCAAGAATATTTGACTATATTCTTTTCAGTTTTTTATAAATTAAAACCAATTAAAAATGTTTTTAATTAGGGGTGAAATAGGCATTTTGTTAAATTTTTGGAGGTGTATGATGAAACTCTTGGAGGTGTAGGGGGTGAAGCCCTCGAGGTGTCCTTCTTCCCAGCCCATATTTCTAAGTTCACTCTGATAGTTTCATGAATTTTTCTTCTTCTCAAAAATACCTTCGATACTCTTATTTAAAAAATACTTGTACCTTCTTAGGTAGTAACTTGATATCTATTTTTGTATTCATTATGTACCTAAGAGTACACAATAGGGAAACATATTCATCTTTTCTATAATTCTTTAGTGCATTCTTACGAATATTTGAAAGCTTGTCATGTTAATGTAAAACAAATTTTTAAATTTAAGAATCTAATCTTAAATACTTAGAGTTGTACCATTGTTGAATAATTTTTCTTATTGATTTAAGTTGTTTAGAGAGTTAAATATTTTTTCTAACCGAAAACAAAATATTAAAAATTAAAGAGACGAAGATAATAAATAAATATATAAAAATAAACGAGCTTCGACTATAAAGATATAATAGTAACTACTTGTACAAGAATAATCTTTATTCATTATAAACCGAGCATGTAAATAAATCACATCTTCTAGTAATATTTAAGGAACAGAATATATTCTTTTTACTTCACGAATAAGTAAAAAAAAAAATATGAATCATTAAAAGGAATGTAATTTAATGTTTAAAAGAATGAAAATTAAAGAAAAAAGAAATAAAAAATTAAGTTGAAGTGGTTGTTTAAATAAATTGAAAGACAAATTGAGTGGAGTGGATATGAAGTGATAAACTTTGATATGGTGATGTTGGTTAAGTTTTATAATATCACTACTTTTGTGGATTACTTGAAAATAAACTTATATTGATAAATTTAATTATATAATTTACTTGTTTAAATTATTCAAATCGTACGTAAAAAATTTAGTATGTTAAGTTTTGGCGGGTCTTATTAATAATCCGTCAACACTGTATAACAGTTTGCTTCTTAAAAAATCGTTTCTAACTAAAATGATTTTATTTTACATTATTAAATTTTAATAAGGTATTTTTGCATGTTTTGGACTTAAATCATTTTTAATACTAATTAAATTTAATTAAACAAGGTATAAGTCAATCAAACTAATATAAACATTAAAAGCCAATGTATTCAGATTAAGTATATTCAAAGACGAAGAAAAAAAAATAGATACGTTACAACATTCCTTTTCATAGATAAAAGCATGTAATGAGAAATTTTAAACATATTTATTGTCAAAAGTTTGATAGAACTTACTTATATGTTTCTAAAAAAAAGTTTTTTACCGATTTGTAAACAAATGTAATTCTTCATGTTTTCTCGTTACATTCTTCTCGTTTAAATGAAAAAAAAAATCACATTTTAAGTTAATACTTTTTAATGTTGTTTTTCTTTGATCAAATTTTAATATTATCTCACACTTTCAACAAATCATAAAAAAATTCCATTTATTAACATGGGTTAAAAAAAGTATAAAATAAAATTATTTAATGAAAGTAAAAAACTAAGAATACATATTCAATATATCAAAAACACCATTATTCATGCATTGATAATTGTTGCATTTAGTCCATTTTAAAATTTTATTTGCTTAAAACAATTTACTATATAAAAAGTATGAGTGGAACAATTTATAACTTTTATCTATTCTACCATCTTATAGTCTAACTCATTCATCTTCTAGCATCATGTAAACAGTTACCAACTTTTAATAGGTGATAGATAAATTATATACAAATAATAATACAAACGTGTTAAATGATGGATAAAATGACGTCTTCAAACGTGTTTCTCAGTTAACATACATACCTTTCTCTGTATCATTTTGTACCTTTCTCTGTATTTTGTACAGTAATGAATCAATACATTCATCTCTGTCTTCACCCTTCTGACTTCTCCTTCTTTTTTCTTCCTCATAACCTTTTTTTTATTACTGCTTAATAAATCTATGATAAATGATACTTGAATCTTAATATTAAGAGATTAGGAGCTTTAACAAAATATAATTTTATGTACTTTTGTAATAGTGGGTGATAATATATGATATGTTGTAATCAAATGAATATAGTAAAACTGTTAAAGAGGTACTTGACTTTGAGGAAAAGTTTAAAGTAGTCATTTTAAGTAAATTAGTACAAATTTAAATGAGTTTTTGTATATTAGTATTAACGAAGATGTAGTTATTATAATTTAAATCTTGTGGAAGTTTACTTGACTATATGATTTAACGTTTGGATTAGTCTGTGGATTTTTTTACGCATTTGCGAAGCATGTTTTTTAGCTTGATCCACATGCATTTTTAAAAAAAATTGATTCATTATTTTAAAAATTAAAATATGTTTTTATTTTCTTAAGGTTAATAAAAATTAAAAATAGTCTTTTTTAAATCTTGTTGAGGAACCAATATAATTTTTTATCTTTTAAAATATATAAATGTAATAGTTTAACACAAATTTTATTAATTATCTATTGCTTCGTAATATCATTTGAAGTTTATATTCTTTGACACATTTTTTTATTCAATGTTAACTGAAAAACGCGTTTGAAATGTCAAATATATTTAACAAAATTTAGTTAAAATAATTAAATCTACACATTTATAACATTGAGATTAAATTTGATTAAAGTTTCAAAAATAAACTAATTCTAATTTGTAGTTAAAGTTAATAGACCAAAGACATATTTTTCCTTATTTTAAATTCATAATTTATATTATTTACTGATAATTTTAATGGACAAGATCAGCAAACATTTATTATTTATTTATTTTTAAAAAGTTCGTATTTATTATTTGATAATGTTTTTTTTGAGGTTTATTTAAATGTTTTTCAACATGACCTCTCGCTGTATGTTCTCAACCTATTTTGAATTTTTTTTATGTGATTATAGCATGTATGAGATTATTTCTCTTGTGGTAAATTGAGTTCTAATATTCAATATCGGATTATGGTTCATAATTTATGCTTATCGTCAATGATGATTTTGAGAACCTAAGATAACATTCATAATTCTAACCACTTTTACGTTTGTTAAAACTTTAATATTTTTTTTCTCAAACTCATCTATTTGATGCTATGTGATGTTCCTAATGAACGATTAGTAATTAGATGGAAGATTTTTTAATATATATATATATATATATATTTTTTATATTTTGGGTCTAAGATTTACATTAAAGAAACATTTTGCTCTTGTATGTAACTTAAGATTTTGAATGTAGCTCTAAAAAATAACAATGAACAATTGGGTTGATAATTGTAAAGATATTTTAATTTTAGGGTCCAATTTAAAAAATTAAATAGTAAGTTCTCAATTTTTTTTCACACTTGTGATACAAAGCACCATAAAAAAATGATGAGAGAAAAGGAGATAATTTCTTCTAACAAATTGTTTTGAATGTTGTAAATTGTTGATAAAATCATGAAACATTTTTTTTTAGGTTTTGAATTTTAATATTAATTTTAATCCAGTAATATTAATTTGATTTTGATAAAAATAAAATAGGAATTAATACTTTTAATTTTTCATTATTAAATTAGAATGTATATTATTTTATTATTGATATAAATAAAGATATATTAAGTAATATTCTTTAGATTAATCAGTTAATATATTATCTTTTATTTTCATTTTTTAATCAACGTCCTGTATATACATGTTTAAGTCATGGAAAATCATCATCCTGAACCATCTGTTTAGTTTGTGTGTGTCACTGATTTTTTTTCTTCTACAATATTGACCAATGAAGAGTGGTTGCAGGCAGGTCGAAGATATCGATCTGATCCAAATATAAAATAAAAATCCTTCTTTTTACAGACACAGTTTCAGACATATCAGAGACTTCACTCTTCTTCTCAATCATGACTATGGAGCCAGACATTGAATCCGAACACGCATATAACTGCAAGGTTATGGTGGGCACTGCCATTCTCGTCTTCCTTCTCATAATCCTCATCATTCTCTTCAACGCCTACATCCGCTTCTGCCGCCGTCGCCGCCGTGTTCTCTTGTTCCGTTCCCTTCCCACTTTTTCCTTCTCCGCCTCGTGCACCGCTCTCTCAAGGAATGTGCGTGTGCCTGTCGGAGGTTCGCCGAGGTTGATAAAGTTCGCACACTTCCCAACTGTAAGCATGGTTTCCACACCCACTGCATCGACGCGTGGTTTGCCTCTCACTCCACGTGTCCTCTGTGCCGAACACCGGCCCAACCGGCCAAGGGTTGCTCCGATAATGAACCCGGTTTGGTTCCAGTTTCCGGAGCAGAAGAGGGTTGTTCTTCGTCTTTGGGTCCCCCAATTGCGTGTCCGAGAAAGACGTTGGATGTAGTGATAGAGGTGGGAGATGTGGAAAGAGGTTTGAATCCTGCAAGGAAGATGATGGATTCAGATGTTCATTGAAGTGGTTTTTGTAACGCATTAAGCTAGTCAATGCTATGGTTTATCATAATCTAATCCCTCAAATTGGTTTTAACATGTGAATCTAAAATCACTGAAATCTCAAATCTCAGTTGAATTTGGTTAGTAATGCACATTTAGACCATAGTAATTTTCTATTATTTTACCTTTGTGTGTAGTTTATTAAAAGCAAAAAGAAAAAATGTATTAATTTTTGTGAGTCAAGTAAGTAATCTATAATAGATTTTGATAGAAAGTATTTTGTAAACTAAAAGTTGTTCGTTTTTTTTTTTTTTAACATGTTATATAAGTTATGAAACCTTTAAAATAATATGTATTTTTTAATAACATTCAAAATATATTCGAAAATGTGTTCTTGATGTTTCTCTGTTGAAAAGCCATTGAAAATAATTCAATAAAGAAACTTTCAAAGCAATTCTTCTGTACATGCATTATAAATCTGTAATTTTTAGATAATATGTTTTAATAATAATTATAATAAGGTTTAATAATATTTTCTTTCTTTATTTTCATTCATTTTTGTTCAATATACAATTTATTTTCTTAAATATTTAATATGATCTTAATTTTTATAATTTATATTTAATTTATTCCTTTTATCAAATAGTAATCATATAATTAATAATTAGATATAATTAGTAATTAGATGAGAAATTTTTAGTTTTTTTAATTCTTTTTAATTCTCATAAACTACACAGTGGATATGATTAAGTAAAACTAGTAATACTTTGAAACTACGTACCAATTATCTTAACAAATAATTTTGCAGTTTTCATTTGTATAAGGTATGCTATACTTATTTTGAATTCAAAGTTGTAACATTATTTATCAATTAGTTTTAACCTGATTGTAAATTTTAAGTCCTTTATAATACTAACTATATTTTAATAAAACTCATTTTCCCGTAGTTAATATTTTAAAAAATAGTTAATTTCTGATTATTCACTGCCGAGGAATCTTTTGTATACAACTGAAAAAACTATAGCATCTGTAACCCTCAAATGTTGGCGCCATCACGCAATCAAGAAATTTAAGAATTCGCGCCTTTTCTCAATTTTGCAAATTTCTGTGTTCAAATGTCACAAAACCACCGCCAGCCATGATCTCTGCATCTAAATTTCTTCATAGAATCAAATCAAATAAATATGAATATATTTTAACAGAAACCTTTTTGTAGCAATACATGAATAATCTTTGCTGCTTTATTAGGTTTCTTTCTACACAGATCTATATTTTGGGTGTGTTATAGACAATCACAGCCAGAGCTTCCCCTTTCTTATTCAAAGGCGTGCATTTTAGGATTCTTAAGATGATCATTAAGCGGAGCATGAAAACTGAAATTCCAAAACGATTCAAGTCAGAAAAACGAGTGGTTTCCGAGATTCATAAGGAGAGGAGAACAAATGGGTTTTTTTCTGCTGAAGGAGTCTCTGGATCCAGTGAGGCGCCGTCCAATTCAAATTCCGTGGACTCCAATGGCACAATTGGAGACCTGCCCCCGCAACCAGAAGAAGTGTTTCGTGCCATTCAAGCCCAGTCTTCCAGAGGTCGCACCAAGAAGCTTCCTTGCAGGTTCAGTGATTCTGTTCTTTACGAACGATTAGGGTCTGATAACGGGAATGGGAATGTTTTACAAGACGTTGCTGCCATGAGTAGTGAGCGGGATTCTCCTTGTTTTCCATGTTCTGCTGTGCTAAGAGATTCCGAGTACTCCGTCAAGACTGTTAGAAAGACGGTTATTGGAGGTCGTTCTGTGTTTGTTAAAGAGAAGATTGATGCTGTGCCTGGACTAAGTACCCACGTTGAACGTGTGAATGGAAGTGTCAAAAGGAAGAGGGATGCTTGCAGATTGGATGATTTTTGTTTGGGTGATATAGTTTGGGCAAAGTGTGGGAAGACCCATCCTGCTTGGCCTGCTGTAGTCATTGATCCTTTCTTTCGAGCTCCCAAATCCGTCATAAACTGCTGTGTCCCTTCTGCACTTTGTGTTATGTTTTTTGGTTACTCCAAAAACGGGAATCGTAGGGTAAGGGTTTGATTTCTATTTAGAAAAAAAAAACTTTTTTTGTTTTGAAAGGAAACTGAACAGGTTGCTTAGACAATTCAAGGAAATATTGAATAAGATGAAAAAAATATTATCTTGGAGTTTTTCTTATTTTTGGATTTTAAAACGTATATTCTGGAATTTGTTTTAAGAACATGTTTTGGTTGAGAAATTGAATGTTGAGTTATGTAGAATTGTTTTAGGTTTTTATTACAACTTAAAAATGAGAAAGGAATCAAATATGCACTAATTTAGTAGTTGCGTATGTTCATAGACTTGAGTTTTTGGTTGTGTTTTTAGTGTTTAAATATTTCTAAGAGAATTATGATGGGCAGGACTATGCCTGGGTGAAGCAGGGGATGATATTCCCCTTCTGGGAATTCATGGACAGGTGCGTATCTGCTGCAGTTGTTTCCGCAATAATGTTTTGTATTTACTTACTAAAATTGCCTTTGTTCAGGTTCCAGGGGCAGATCAAACTGTACAAAAATAAAGCAAGTGATTTTCACAAGGCAATGGAAGAGGCAATGTTGGCCGAAGATGGCATTTTGGACTTACACTTGGAAGCTGATCAAAATTTGGTGGCTGCGGATTCCCCGGTTGACCACCGTCATTCCTATAAAGATCAGGTAGTTTTATCTCACTTTGTTTTTGCGTATGATCATGCTTAGACTAATGACGAGAGCATCTGTAAGCTTCATTTAGCTTAAGAACGAGGTCTAGTGATGTCGTGAACTTGCAATATAGATTACAAAAGCTGCACTGTATAGCTGATTTTCGTCTTACTTGGAAGGACTAAGGAGTGCGTAATGATATTCACGCTATAGCCTCTAATGTAGTCACTCCCTACTTCAAGAGTTCAAATTAACATCCTAGAATTTGAATGAGTATTGTTTCAGTGGCCCAAAATGTAAAAGCAAATGGGACTGATAGTATTATGAATTTTCAATGGTATCGGTTACACCAAAGTTAAAAGATTTTTAGCCCAGCATGTGAAGTGAAAGCAATCGTGCAGTTTTCTTGAAATGTTTTCTTGTTGTCTTTTCATAGGATATAGCATAGGCATAGCCGTATAGGCGTGGCTGACTGAGTTTTAGTTTGTTCAAATCTCTCACGTAGACTTCAGAAACATGCCTTTGATATAATGACATATGCATAATGTTGTAGAATTATGTCACAAACGATATTTCGTATACATTCCTGGTTACAAAATCAAAAAATGGAAAGTTTAACATTTAAGGTTATCTCATTATAGTTTTCAATAAAACCTTTTTCTATTTTTTGATTCATTTACCTATCGCCCTATAGCTAAATCGTATACATTATCATGGTTTTGGAAACTGATCCATATAATTAAATATATTTGTGTAAACTCGGGATCAGTTGGCCGGTTTAGGTAAATTTGTTTCCTTCCTTATTTGCCGAAAACCTTTTTTAAGCCTTTGATCTCTTTTCATATATCCGTACGTGAGTGAGTGTGGATAATTTAGTCAATTAATCTTTTAAATCTTAGAGTCTGGTTAATTCTAGATTTTTTTCCGGTGAATAAATTATGTAGGGTACACTATCTTGTGCTGGCTGTGGTTTGGTGTTGCCATGCAAAAACATAAAGAAGATTAAGGATTCAAGTTGTGCTCCTCAGCACTATTGCAAGCCCTGTGTAAAGGTTCTGCGATGACTCTGCGTATATGTCTTTCATTTCTTGACAGGATAAATTTGTTGCTGACATTTGATTACTCCATTGGATTCTGTTATCGCAGTTAATAAAATCGAAACAATATTGTGGGATTTGCAAAAAGATTTGGCATCATTCAGACGGTGGAAATTGGGTAAGATTGTCTACTTACTTAATGTATCTATTATTAGATTTTATTTATTTATTTCAACAAAAAAAATTAATATTTTGAGATGTGGTGGTCTGGGGGGCTAATTTCTGACAGGTATGTTGTGATGGTTGTAATGTTTGGGTGCATGCTGAGTGTGACAAAATTTCCAGTAAACTTTTCAAGGTATCGTGTGGTGACAGTTTTCATTTTTGTCCTGCTTGTTTTATTTCATTTGATAAAAAAAGTATAAGAGACTGATTAGTTTCTTAATGCAGGATCTGGAAAATATGGATTATTATTGCCCCGATTGCAAGGGAAAATTTAATTGTAAATTATCAACATCTCATGCACAGAAGTCAAAAAAGATGTACGTAGAAATTATTTATTCCTTCCTCTACTCATTCTTTTAAGGACATCGGACATATTGATTTTGATTTTATCTGTGAATCTTATGTGATATTTTTCGACGTAGATCAATGGAGGATAGCCAAAAACTTGTATTACCTGAAAATATTGCTGTGGTATGCAATGGCCTGGAAGGAATCTATATTCCAAAGCTTCATTTGTAAGTCTCCAACACTTTATCTTTAATTTTTGTATTAGGAAGATGAAACTGTGTTCTAGATTTATTAGCCTACCTGAATAGGTTCACAAGCAAACCTATGTCCGATCTGGGAACAAGTGAACACTTGTGGTGATTAAACCTATTATGTCATTCAAGTAGAAATTGATATAGTTTCTTTTTATTACATTTTCTTGCAGGGTTATGTGCAATTGCGGCTTGTGTAGTTCTAGGAAGTATACACTTACTGAATGGGAAAGACATGCAGGTTGCAAAGCCAAAAAATGGAAACATAGCGTGAAAGTAGAAAGCACAATGCAACCGCTAATAAAATGGGTTTGTGCCAGTTCTTGTCATACTAGATTCATGGCAATACTCTCTGGTGAATTATGTGTTGTTGTTATTTATTTATTAATTTTTTTGTATTCACGTTTATGAAAAATATTACTCAGATTACTTCACTGCTGTCTAGTGTCTACATCTTTCTATTTCAAACATCTCCCAATTTTCACTTACGCAGCTATTGTTATGTAATATGTGTATATCATGCCTTCATTTTTCCATATAATGTGTTTATACCAATAATATTTACTTCAGATCAGTAACCACAAGGCCCCAACGGGAATTCCCCCGCAGTTAGATCAGCAGCAAATTCTGTCCTTTTTACAAGGTGAATTTCTATTTCATATAAAC